GGGTGTTTCATGACAGTCAAAGCCAGAACCATGTAAGGTAGCATTACTAAAATTTCCATAACACTCGTAGACGAGTAAATGATGCACGATGCCTTCGTTTCCAGGTGTTACATATGGCTCAAACTATAAAAGAGGAACAAACTGAAAATTTGCGAAAGCGACACCAACATCAATAGTGGAACGCTTTAATTCTAATTATTGATTGCTTGATACAAGAAAATATCTAGAATGTCACTAAGAACCAAACGTTTGTGAAACCTTAGGCCAACCGGCACACCTTTCGTAAACAGACATTTCGTAACCCGCCGTTAACTAACCATTCCACTTAAAGGTGTGGCTTTTTCTGACACGACTAATCAAAAGTGGAGAATTTTGAAATGCGTAAATGAAATGTCGAAAGTTATTGCAATGTCACTAAATCTCACCGACTACGAAATTGCCTTTCCTTGGAGAACTCAGTTGGAGCGTCTAAACTATTTGTTATCAACGCATTTCTAAACATGCAAGTTCATATTTTTGAATCATTTTCGTAAGAATTTACACGGTGGCCTTCTGCATTGATAAGTCACTTAACCATAAGAAGAGATAAACGGATGAAAACAAGTTTTATTGCAATGATTTGCATTTCTGTACTCACCTTTGTAATATGATGCTTTGATTTGAACTCGGGTAGTTGGATAAGAGAACACCAATACGTTGTGCGCTTTTTAGGAATTGTTACCTGAAAAAAAGGTATTTTTATTTTGAGTAGGCTTCAGATTCCATGACTGGATACTCTTCGCTTTCGACAACATTCTCCACAATTTAGAACACTTAAAGAATAATTTTTATTTGTAACTAACATTTCTATTTATGATGTAAAACTGCTTCCACCCGGTTTCGTTCACTTGTTTCTTGTCCATGTTGTTAAGAAGTAGAATGCTCTTCGCCCCTCGGAAAGTATGTTTCTTCATATCGTCCTCAGACGTGGGGTCCTTTGCATGATATGCAAACACAACCTTAGTGGTGCCTTCCTATGAAAAAAAGAGTAAACAGTGAAATACCAATTTACTTTATTTCCTTAAAAAAAAAAACAAGAGAACATAATTAATTAGCGCTGAACAGTTGAATGATGTAGCGATAAACATTATATCAACATGGTAAACAATTTATTCAGACACAGTGACACTGCCTTTAAAAGGCAGTACAAATACTTTTTTAGCCATGATTAAATATTTTGGCCGAGTTGACTGATACGGGAAAAAACGAATAGGCTATGTTAAGGATTACCTCAATCTTCCTGTCGCGAGGATCACAGGTGTCAAATTTCCTACTAAATCTCAATACAGTTTTCCCTTCGCTTTCCTCAAACCCAGTTAAGTTGTAATTGTTTTCTTTGTCCAACGGTGGAAAGCTTTGGGAATCAGCAAACCGGTCCTTCAAAACAAGTCATTAAAACGAGATCAAAAACTAACCGTGGTTAACTATGTTTTTTTTTAAGCTAAGCTTATTCACAGCTCAACTGCAGACTATTCTGTAATGAAAAATGTACAGCTTGGAGGTGCCAACTCTTTAAAAAGGCAAT